ACACTCAGCTTCTTGTGCAGATATAGTCCACTTTCAACAATCATCTATTCATTGAATTTTTTGAAATGTAGCACCTAAGAGGTAAGGGGTTGATTCTGTATACATAGATTTGTAAAGGGGTTAGCATGTGTGTACATAGATTTGCAAAGGCACAATGGGCTTAAGGCCTTTTTCTCAACTCTGTATGTTTATTTGTTAACATTTTTCTGTGAAAAGAGGCGTGTGATCTCTGCAGACACAAATTCACAGCTTTGAGAACTGTAAAATCAAGCATCTGTGACAACATCATCTAGATAGAAAAATGGCCCAATAATCTTACAGAAACCTCTTGAAGAGCATGACATTGTTGGAGCGCATACCCGGCTGGCCGACATTAAGCTTGAGAAGGCTCCTCAGGTCCCCAAATGTTATATATGAAAATGGAGCCATCCACACAGCCAGGGATTAAGAAATCCCTTGCCAGAGTTCCCAGGTAGCCCAGATTCTCAGATAAGCACAGGAACCACCTGGATTCAAATGTACCAATCAACAGTCTCAGCAGGGGGGTGGGGATTTCAAACGAATGGATGTCCCTCATGACTACCTGGTCAGCAAAGGTATAAAAGAGGACTCTGCCATGTGCTCTGGGTCACTTGCCCTTTTGCTTGTGGCCAAACTTATTCTTGAGAATAAAATTCAGTTTTGCTCCTCTCATTCTTGTGCTTGATTGGGCTGAGTGTGCCAAGTCCAGACCCCTTGAGTTTTTCATTGTGATTGGATTAATGAAATTCAAAGAATTGCACCAAAAAATTTTACCAAAACATTTAAACATTGCATATACAGCCACATGCTACATAATTAAAAGAGTAATTATTATTTCATGATGAATAACCTTTAGACCATAATGTATCTTACATAGAAAAATATCTTTAGATAGATTTTTCCTTTAAAAGCATTTTATTTTTAAAAAATTCAAGTTAAATTTTTAACAAATCTCATTTTTGTTATTAAAAAAATTATTTTTATCCACCCCACACAGAAAGAATTTCAAGTTCATCACCTTTGGCTGGCCACCCTCCTTTTCATGTTCCAACAGCATTTGCTCACTTCATGTCTCTGTGTCACGTTCTGGTAATTCTCACAGTATTTCAAACTTTTATATTACATAAACTTAGTTGATAAAGCAGTGGCCTGGTTTGATAGGATTGACTCCAATTTTGAAAGAACATCTGCTGTATGAAAAATACTACCCAACAGTATTGATGCAGTATTGCATCATGTCAATCGATGTGGCAAACCTTGTCTTGTTTTAAGAAATTGCGAGGCCACCCCCAGTTTTCCAGCACCCCGATCAGCCAGCAGCCAGCAGCACTGAGGAATGACCCCCCACCAGCCAAAAGATTACAATCCACTGAAGGCTCAGGTGATGATTAGCATTTTTTTTCTTTAGCAATAAAGCATTTTAATTAAGATGTGTACATTTTCAAGACGTAATGCTACTGCATGCTCAGTGCACCACAGTATAAACAACTTTTATATGCACTGAGAAACCAAAAAAATGTGTGACTCGCTTTATTGCAATATTCACTTTATCGTGGTGGTCTGGAACAGAACTTGCAACATCTCCGAGGTATACTGTTGGGAAAATTTGGATAAATCCTGTCTGAAAAGCATTACTCTTGTGTGCGTTTGCACTGTGGGATCAAATCCTGTCTTCCTTCTCAAAACCAAGCTGTCACTGTTTAAAATGGCATTCATTCCCCACTCCTTTCTCTCACCTTTAGCTGTAGGCTACAGTAGACAGGCCATTTAGTCCAAATTTACATTGTATACCTTCACAATGATTAAATAATCATTGTTGGAATTCAGTTTACAAGGAAGTATCTTTTGATAGCACAGAGGCTCCATGTGCCCTGGCCAATTCAGAATGTCTAGAGTTTAGATAAGAGTCTTGAGCTCATGCATAGTTTCTCAGTAGCTTGAATTTACATGTCTAAGCAGACCTGAAGATGGGTTCAGGCTATTGAACTAAAGTGTCCATATAGGCAAGTAGAAATATTGTATCTCATTGTTACTGTGTGATTGACTGACATTTCTTTATCTGTTCTGTATGTGATGACCTCAGAATCTTATTGTAATCTCTGCATTCAGTCATCAATTGCCCTGTACCTGTGTACCTATAAAATACCCTGCAATGGTGTTGAAGCTTTGCAGCAGAGTTCACCTCTGCCTGCCCAGTAATGCATGCATTATCATGAGTACCGCGGGAACCTTGGGGTAAATGCAATGAAGCCTCAGATGGTCTGGACGCTTGGTCTTTCCCACAAACCTGAGTTTTATTCCCTCTTCTCAAATTGAGATTCCGGGATTCTGACAATGCCTGGAGATAGAAAGGCAAAGACAGACAAAATGAGGCAAGAGGGAGGAGCTGCAAAGACACACTCTTTCCTCCGCAAAGAAAACAGAGGATGGCCCAGTAAAGTCATTGGTTAAATGCCTCTTGTAGAGAAGGCCTTAAGAATCACGGGAAAGATGTTTAGTTCTTCTTTAATCCAGTGCCATCAACATATTTTAGGTGATAAAACCTAGGATTCCTGACAATTGGCCTGCTGGCTGGGGAGCTGCAGCCCAAAACATCTGTTGGAGCTTTGTCAGATGGTATTTTTTCTTTAAGAGGCATTCATAGCCTTTTTTCCAAACCACTCCAAATTTCATAAAGACTGCTGCAGTGCATGAAGTGATCCCAAGGAAATTCCCACTCCCTCTAGTTAGGTGGCTTAGAAAAAACAGTTGGAGTGCCAAAAGCCTTTGGAAGATGAAGTACACAGCATCTATCAATTCACTCATTCTCACGTTAGCATTCACAAATTATCGCAAAATCACTTCTTTGCAGAAACTGTGCTGATGCTTCTTCCGCAAGGCTTGTTTTATCTCAAGCAGGTTTTCTGTGCCATGTTGAATATGGAAACGGAAGCTATGATAGTGAGGTGGCACAGAAGTTGGGGATTAGGATGATACATGAGTTAGTGTCAATTATGTAGGAGAAGAAACTTGATCCCAAATTGGTGGAAGGAGAAGGGTGGAAGTGTTGAAGTAAAAGAGAAAGAAAATGGGAGGGTAAAGCACAGCCTCAATGTGGTATGTCATTGATTTTTCTCATTGCTCACTCTCTCTTCTACTTACACACCAGAGAGAGAGAGAGAGAGAGAGAGAGAGAGAGAGAGAGAGAGAGAGAGAGAGAGAGAGAGAGATTTATATAGAAGATAGAAAAGACACTGACATTCATAGCTGAAACTAGGGCTTTATTTATGTCGCTTCAATGCAAGGCTGCCGGATCTGATATGTAGTAACGTGGGGAATGTTAAATATAATTTCCAAACATTTATTGTACATGCGTTTTTCATTTCTTTATGGTTTTACCCAATGGCTGCAGGTAAGCCTGCGAATGTATTCTCAAAAGTAGAGAAGTCATTTTGGAAGAGAGAAATGTCAGCCACAAATTTAAGCTGACAATTTTAAGGAAGAGGCAGTGGAGTCAGGGCAATATTGAGGGCTTGTCCCCTGTCCCTTCCTTGGGACACAGAAGGAGTAGGGAAGAAGCAAACTTCCATACAGTGCAGAATTTGGGTATCGGCATCGGAAAGGTCTGTGGCAAACTTAAACCAAGCAACAGTCATCATCTCTATTTTCCTCAAGTCCTGATAGCTGTGCATGCGCGCGCAGACCATGTTCAGAAAGGGACCATTCACCCACATGTCCTTTACATGTTACATGAAGCATATCCATGCTAACAATCCCAGACCCTTCACACTCCTCCTACAAACAATGCATGAGAAGCAACATTATGAAAAATCTTCCCTCTGTGGCAACACTGCTCTCCCAGCGCCATCAATAACATTTGATGGTAGGGCTGATTTTTAGATTGTTCACTTCAGTTGTTGCTTTTATTGTGTTTACTGCTGTATCAGTGTTTGTTATGTGTTGTTTTGTTGTATGCCACACTGGGAGGCATACAACAAACACCCATCGGCTGTCTAGTTTGTAGTAATAGGGAGGCACAATACAAAGGCGTTATTCCAAGTCATCATGAACTGGCCCTCTGAAACCTTGGGTACCACCAAGGTTTTAAAACATCTTTAGGGCATCTCCTGCTTTTGCTTCCATAATTTGAGCAATGGATTGTAGGTGGGTGGCCCTGGCTGCAGCAGATTGCCATAGCAGATGCTGTTGGCTACATCTCCGTACTCGTTCCTTGTGCCTACCAAAAGGTATCTTTCACAGCAACCATCAGATAAACAAACTGAAATGTTATTTGGGCTTCAAAAATGATGAGGTTGTACAAACAACTGGCAATATAGTGACTGTGATATTTCAAAGACAATTAAATGATTTTTCCTATGGCAGGGATCTCCTTAATTCTGTATAGCTAAGCAAAAACAAACCCTGCTCGAGACTTCCACAGTCATTCTGGGGGTTTGAACTTATGATGTGGGAGACTTGCACTAAACAACCAGAATAGCAAATGTTGCCAAGGAGCCTCTCCTCTGCTTCCTTTAAGAATTTCCTCTGCGCCAACCACAGCCCGCTTTCTAAAACCACCCTGGTCTGTCATCAAAATAGCACCATCCGCTCACCCCACATACTGCTCCTCATTGCACACCCCAGCAGTTTCTCACATTTTCCCCTATAGCTGAGCCTGCACCTCTTTCTGTCTGTATCTATTGGCATCTCGCTACTCCTAGGGCAGCTCTGACCACCACAGCGAACATGCTTGGCATGGACTCTTAAGGCCCTGGAGGCCTTCTACAAACTCCTTTTAAACTACAATTCCCAGGAGACCAAGCAGTGCCACAGCCATTTCTGATGATGCAGAAGGTACCCTGGGCATTTTGGTTCCATAGCCCAGGAGTGTGCCTTTAATGACGGTTGAAAAGACTAACATTCCTAACACCACTGCCTCCAAATCCCCAGGTCAGACGTGTTTCAGTTTTCCAAGGAGTTGTGGCTTTCCCCCCAGCATCCCTGGTTTTACCTCCCCAACAGATCAGCTCATAACACAGAGAACTTCTGGCAACCCAACTGCCAAGGGGAATGAGCTGGGAAGAATCATTTGTCGTCAACTATTTTCTGTTTTTCTTTCACTCCAGCAGCTACAACAGCGAAGAACAACTCTGGAAAAAAGGTGCGAATGTAAACAGCTGCCTTTGCAATGGGATTTGCTAGGAACACCTCCTGTTTCTTCCTGCTCACTGTTCGCAGAATTTCCTCTGCTACTTCCACTGGGTGGACACCGTTAGCCAGTTTTCTGGAAAAGACTGAAAATCAGACAGAAGGTTAAGTGCTGAAGCATGTCCTTCCTCTGTCTTTGTATGTTAAGACTGTTTGAAAACGACCCTGGATCAAAAGCGGTTTTGGGGGTAAACAATTTTACAAGGGATTTAAAAAGAACAGAAGAACAACCAGACTATGTTTGGGTGTGCTGGAGAGTGGAGTCCCAAGGAAAATTCCTTTAAAATTCCTTTAGGAAAATGTCCTGAGACATTGGTGAGTGGAATTGGCAGCCCTACACAATATTTGCACTTTTTAAAGGAGTATATATTAAAAGATACAAAACACACATACAAAAAACACATATGCATTTTGCATACTTTAAACACTTCTCCAAGGTACATTGGGAGGGAATGCAGTGGGTAATCTAAATCAACTGCACTGGGGAAGGGGACTTCCTCACCCCTTCCTTCCCACGGCCCTCCCAGCTCCCAAAAATGCTTCCCGGAGAGTTGGGAAACCCTGTTGAATGGAGTAAGCTGTGGTGACAGAGGGAGGATTCCCAAAAATATGGCAGAGGAACTTCCTTGAGTCGATCCCTTCCTTTCATGAAAGATCTCATCTTCTTGTGGAAGGAAGATCATGCATCCAGCCTTGGAAGCAGCATTGTCTGTCTTTTTGTGAAGCTAGTGGCCATATGGGAAAGGAAGTGCATTAATTGTCACAGTGAGGCTGCTTCTGAGAGCACATGTTGCAGAAGTAGTTTTTGTATGGCTAGGAGCAAGTTGTATTTGCCTTTCCAGGTACTGGTTTGCCTAGACCCACCTTAGCAGGACAATAAAATAAACGAATGTATGTCTTCCTATGGATAATGTTAGGTTGGCAATCCCACACCCAAGTTTCTGAAAAGTTCTTGCATGTACACAGTCTAAAAAGACACACACATTGGTAACTTCCCAACTAGACTTCTGTAACGTGCTCTACGTGGGGCTGCCCTTGAAGACGGTCCGGATACTTCAATTGGTTCAAAATACAGCTGCCAGGTTGATGACGGGGACTGGGCATTGTGCTCACATGACTCCAGTCCTCCGCCAGCTTCACTGGCTCCCCATTGAAGTCCAGGCCCAATTCAAGGTGTTGGTTATTACCTATAAAGCCCTTAATGGCTTGGGACCTAGTTACCTAAAGGAGCGCTTACATCCATTCAAGCCCTCCCGCCCCTTGAGATCTGCGGCAGAGGCCCTTCTCCAGGAGCCCTCCGTGAAGGGCATTAGGAGGGCGAGTACCCGGAGGAGGGCCTTCTCTGTGGTGGTACCCCACCTATGGAATGCGCTCCCCAGAGAGGTCTGCCTGGTGCTGTCATTATTTGTTTTTCGGCAGCAGGCCAAGACTTTTTTATTTAAACATTATTTTAATTGATAATTTATTATTTATTGATTTTAATAACTTTGGCCAGGATGTCTCCAATTTTATATTTAATTGTATTGATGATATGTATTTATGGTTGTAAGCTGCCCCGAGGCTTTGGCGAATGGGGCGGAATATAAGTTAAATAAATAAAAAAATAAAAATGCATTTGTGGTGGAGTCTTAGACATGTTTTCTTAGACTACATACTGTCACTCATGCCTCAGTCACACCAAAATGTGTTGATTCTGGACGCTGCAGAGGATATGTACCAACACCCCCATGGAGTATTTCAAACTCCAAACTTTCAAACTTTTCCTGCTCTGAGAAGTATTTTCAGTTTTGCCAACAAGAAGATAAATTTTCAGCCATAGATATTCCACCCTTCCAAGTCCACCTCTCCTGATTTACAGTTCGCTCATGACCCATCCACGAAGCTTCTCACTCTCACTGCATCTCCTCTCAACTTCCCAACAACACTGGCCCTTTCTTCTCCTTTCCCCCCTTTTTCCAGCTCATAGAACGCTCCTGTATACTGGGTCCAGCCATTGGATCATCTAGCCCAGTACTGTCAACACAGACCGGCAGCAGCTGTCCACTGGAAAGGGAAAGGGTTTCCATTTTTCCAGCCCCACCAGCAGATGACAGGTATTGCACCTGGGGCCCTCTGTATGTAGAGCAGGTGCTCTATGGAGGAGCGACGGGCCCCTCTATCCCCACGACTATTTGTTGTGTGAGTCTTACATTTCCACACAGAGGCCTCCCAGTTGCTAGGCTGTGGCTGCACATGGTATGAACATATGAAACTTGGGGTCACAGTACTGACACAAACGCCAAATTCTTGCAGTTCTGCCCTTAAGCAGTCGAAGAAGCCCAGGGCAGCATGCTTTGAAGCAGCATCTAAAATCAAAAGAGAGGTGCAATCACATAATGAAAAATGAATGCACAGATAAATAATAACGTACTCCCAGTTCTTCTAACATTCCCCTCTCTGCTATCTCTGCAAATCCAGAAAAACGGAACATCCTTCCAACTCCCTTTTTTTACTCTGTCCATTACTGAATCTCATCTCAGCACCGAAGTTTAATGTAGCCGCCCCCGCCCCTTTAAAACAGTTAATGTACTCAGTAGCCTATGAAAAAGACATCCAGTTTCACAGCAAGCCTGCAGAAACAACCAGGCAAATAAAATTGATCTTGCAGTGCTGCCAGGAATGAAAAAATCACTTCAGTGTTGACTGAAATGGCTCTCGGGCAGCATTTTGTCCTGAAGGATGCCTTGGGCCTGCGCAAAGCCCCCTCAGGTCACTTATGGCATCTGACAAGTGTGGAGGAACTATGCTGAGCACCATGGAGGTAAATGCTGAAGTGCAGGCCCCATCCTGTACTCTTACCCAGTGAGAATCCAAAAATGCAGGCCACTGTGTTGATCCATATCCATTTCCAGCAGTTTGTAAAAACAATGGGTCTTAATTGTCCATCCAAGACCAACCCAACCCAAAATAATGGACATTGCAACAGGGAAACAATATGTAATTGCTGGGAAGCTCAAAGAGAGCCTGAGCAGGTGGCAGAGGATTTCGGCATCCACACTGATAGAGAAGTGCCAGCATTCTGTCCCACACAGCCATGCTCCACCACACTCCTGTCTATGCTATGGCCTACGGCAGAGTTGGTATCCGCTCTTCCTCAGTTAACCTGAAGCTCGTTGGCTTAGTGAACCTCTGAACTTTGTGAATCCCAGCAGTACCATGTTTAACACCCCATGGAGGGAATGGTCCTCCCGAGTCATAAACTTACAGGCTGCACGGAAAGGCACTCCTAATTTCCCCTGGATGTTGTTGAGTAGCACAACTTGACCAGTTCTCCTGGAGATCATGTTGGGAATAAGAGCTGCAGGTGGAGGGAAGGCAGCAGGAAACGAATAGTGTCAGATTCATTCTGTTAGTTTCTTATTTAAACTTCACCATTTCTTTTTGTTGCTTATGCAGCATTTATTGCTTTATCAGGATATCAGAAACATATGAGTAGAAGAAATGAAAATTATCTAACCCAACACCGTGAAGTGTAAGCAATCTACCAGTATTACCACTATGTCTATGTTTTAACTTTATTTTGTAGAAAAGCAAATGATTATGGCCCTGGCCAGAGTGTTTATCTTCTATACACCAGGAAATGGGCATTTTGTTGTGCTTGGGGAAACACACAGAGGTGATCTAGCAGTGCAACTCAGATCCCGCCTCCAACTTGTGCTTGTTTTCTTTGCCAAGCAACTTCATTTGGAGCCTCATCAATTTGCCTTCTGTGAAATGGGTTGGAGCAGAGAACTGGTATCCAAAGAGTGGTTTTAAGTTTTGGAACTCAGACCTCTCCCTGCCTTGCAGGTAGGGCCTTGGACGATTCTCTGTTAGGCTTACCAAGTTGCCTCCTTGGAAATGGGTGCCTTGTACCCGGCCACAGCCCCCGCAGCAGCCACTTGGTGAGGGCAACATGGCATACGCTGAAACATGCAGCTGTGCTCACTGTTTGAAAAATGTTGGGAGGCTCTCTTCTAAAGCAATTTCCCTCAGCCTAGTGTCCTTCAGATGTCTGGGACTTCAGTGGCCATCAACCCTGGCTAGCATGGCCAGTGTTTGGGAATGCTGGGAGTTGTAGTGCAAAACATCTGGAGAGTACCAATATGGGAAAGGCTGTGCTAGATGAACAAGATGAGGCATAGAATGAGGGAACAAGGTTGCATAAGGAAACAAAACAAAACAAAACAAAACAAAACAAAACAAAAGCCTTGCTGGACCAGCTCTAGGAAGCTTAAAAGAGCCTAAGCTTTCTATCTAGTCCAGTTCTGATTTCTCGAATTATACCTGACACCTGCTCAATGCAAAGCATGCACTCTGCCTATTTCCATAATGTTTCTGCCTTCTGGAATGGTGCCTATAGACATCCTCCCAATAGTTCATGAGGTGGGAGAGCCAGTGTGCTATAGCAGTTAAGAGCGCAGTACTGGGACTCGGGCAATCCAGGTTCTAGTCCCTGTTCCACCATGGAGCCAACTGGGCAACTTTGGGCCAGTCACAGGCTGTCAGGCCAGCCTATCTCACAGGGTTGTTGTTGTGGGGATGAGGCGAATTATGTAAACTGCTTTGAGTTCTTTGTTAGAAAAAAGGTGGGATACAAATCTAATCAATATATTCTTTGAGAGTCACCATTTTCAGGCATGTTTCGAACACATTTTTAAAAGCAGCACCTAGATGTGCGAGTGCATATGTCATTTGCTTGGTAGCCCTACCATGTTCTCCTTGAGGAAGCAAATCTCTAAGCAGTGAAAGCATCGCTAGGGAACATGGGGTGCTTCCAGTAAGAGGACTCCTAGCAATACTAATCAGAAGAAATTGTATAAAATGTGGAAGAAGTGGTAGGAGAAGTCAGGAGGATGAGAGGTGGAAGATGTCACCAGGATGCCCAGTACAATTTCATGAATGCACAATATGACTCCCATATTGTTTACATGGAATGCACCCATGAATGCATGTGATAATGTAAAATTGGATTAATGCCATGTGGTTGGAAGCACATTTCTAAGCAGTATGGGGGAGATGCATGTATGTTGCAGTCTGACATTTAGTATTGGGAGAATTCAGGAGGGGACTTCTTTTCGACAGCTTCCAGCTGCTGTTCATGATCTTATATTGTGGCTTGGTTTGTGCATTGCCTGTCGTAAAAGAGGCTGTGAACTCCCTCTGCAAACCAGAGCAGCTAAACAACCAGATGCCACAGATATGGGTGATGTACAATTTCTGCTGCAAATAATACCAGTTTTGGGGGGAAAGTGTCCCAGATACATGCCACATGGTTTGCCATGGGGACTTAGCTCACACCTCAAGATAACCCAGATTTTTAAAAAATGGGAGTAATTCCTACTGCAACTGGGAGTGGCTGAACAATCCACAGAACTTCCACTCATGTTCCAGTCAGTAGCATTCCATGTAAACAAGCAACTCTGGCTTGCTTTTTGTTTTTGCTTTTACTAGGGCAGAGAAAGAATCCAATAATAAATGTTGGGTTATTTCTATGATTTGACAGATACAAGATAAGTTAGAGCCTCCGATTCACACAGAGCACTAATCAAGCTTTTGCCCCCTGATAAAACCTTGTGGCACATATCTAGGATATGTCCCACAAAAACAGATGGGTATTATTTCTGCCAGAATCTTTGGCGTCTGGAGTCTTTCTCCAACAGGATTTCTAGATGCCTCCAGGACCTTACAAGAAGGACCCAAAGGTTTAAATCATTAGCTGACAACTGAGGGGAAAGCTCAATAGGTTAGATTGCTAAATCTGACTAAACTAAATCGTCTCATCCCACCCAGGATTCTCCTAAGAGATTAGTTCACAGTACGTAAACAACCGTGGCATGTCGCAAAGAGTGCAGGATTGAGCAAGGTCCCCTGTTCTGAGCATAATTACATGACAAGGGATTGCAGTCAGGGATACCTGGAATCATCGGGGATAGAATGTGAGGGCTGGAGGGGCCTGGGAGGACACCTAGTGAGGAATCATGCAACTGCAGCATCCCTCGCAGATGGCCGTCCCGCCCCTGCTCAACTAGGTCTGGAGGAGGACAATGCACCACCTCCTGAGCAGAAGCGCAGTGATGTCTAGCAAGGAGTTCACGCCACTGAAATGCTAGCAGGGAAATCAAGAGTGAGTCCCCAGCACTAGCAAATGGAAATGTTCCTGCCCATTCTTCAGAATTTCCACTCTCAAACAAGTCTCTCTGCAAAAACCCACCTTTCCCATGAAGTCTTTGACATAACTGCCTACTGCAACTAAGCGTAAAAGCATGCAAGGGAAGCAACTGTATTTTTCTTTGCCTGTGTATTCCTGCCTCCACCCCCACTGTCAAATAGTAGGTTGTCGTCAGTAAAAGTCACAGAGCAATAGTAAGAGGAATTGCAGCACCAACAATTTTGCACGGAGTAATTGAGTGCACCCGTGGAGTGCTAGTAGTCACACCAAGCCGCAGTAAGAACAGCACCGGCTTTTCCTGCCCTAAGGCAGCTCCAGCATCAGCACTGTGTGGGCTGATATGAGCACCTGAGGAGGACCCGTGGCTGCCTCCCGCTGCCTCTGGCGGTTGTCCTGGAAAACCCACCAGCCCCTCTCCCGCTGTGGCATTTCCTGGGGCAAGAGAGTAACTGGCAGGGCACTGCAGGGCAACCTGCTGCATGTCCCATCAGCCGTTGCTGCCCCTTTTTCTCACCACCGCTGGAGGCAGCCTCCTTGCTTGCCTAGCTGGCTGGCTGCTCACCTGCTCAGTCAGTCGCTCTGCCTTGTGCCCCAGGCATGGGCCTCCCAGGAGGGGCCCGCTGGCCACTTGTGAAAGCCCTGCAGCTGGGGTGCAAGGGAAGAGCAAGTGGGGGTGCTGGCTGATTGAGCAAACAAGGAGGCTGATGGCTGAGCAGAGGTGTTAGCGGTGCTTCTCACGCAAGGCAGCAACCTGTGTTGGGCCAGGCCTGCCTAGGGTTGAAACTAGTGCAAGTACAATTTACTATTCTATTTCAATGTGCGATAAGCACCGGAGTGTCAGTGGGTCTTAACAATGCTTGCACTTGGTTGCACCACCCCAAATATGAGCAGCAGTCGCTATAATCCATTGCAGGCATATTTCCCTAGAGACAGTGTTCTCTTGCACCAAGGAGCCTTGGAGGTGCAGTTCTGTGAGGAAGCTCCAGCTCACCAAGAGATAATAAGGGAAATTCTGATGACTTTGTGATTAAACTACAATTCCCAGGATCTGGCGGCTGGGAACCCCAGCAGCGAAATAATATAAGACTGATACAGGTTTGTAGTGTGCAGGTGCTCAATCGGTACTAATCAGTGGCTCCAGCAGGGAAAATGGAGCCAAGTGTGTCCCACCCAATGTCTCATCTCTAAAGAGAAATTAAAAGATTTTAAAGCGGCACTGTTTCAAATACCTTTGGTGAGTGTTATAGGCCCAAAATAGTTGGCGTCCATAATCTTTTTGTCAAGTTCCAGTGAGATATTCTGCACTGTGCCCTTCACTTTCATGCTAGCATTGTTGATGAGTATATCCACACATCCATAGCAATCCAGGATTTCTTTAGCTACATCTTGGATGCAGTTTATGTCAGACAGATCTAGAAGGACAAGCTTCGGAGTAAAAGTCTATAAAAGAAGCAATGCTTGGTTACTGCAGTATGCCATATTTGTAAGTTTCTACTTTTTTTGAAGGGCAAAATGTTAAACCTTCCGTATTTTAAAAAAATATGGTAAACAGTACATCAATCTACAGAAGAAGAAGCTGTTCAATACATGGATCATAAAGGGAAGCACAGCAACCAATTACACACAGTACAGGAGCTAAGGTTTGGCAGCAGATAAGATTAATATGAGGCAAATCAGGAATTCAGAGACGTAGACGCTACAGTATAAGCCAGGGGACTAGCAGTGGTATCTTTGATAAAAGTGGCACTACTGGTCACTGGGTGGATTTCAAGTATAACAAATAAGTAAATAAAATTGTTTCCAAGCATTGTGGCTGCGGCTGCTGCTTGCATCCCAGACTGCTCAGTTGTCACTTTGCATATCCACCATATGCAGCGATGCTTGCATGGACAAAGTCTGCATTCCATGAACTAGTCTTTTACAAAAAGGGAGTAAAATTTGCTCACTCATTCATTTATCATTTCATTCCTTCTAGATATTTGTAGATCACCCTTCATCCTAATGGATTTCAGGCTAGTCTACAATAGTAAAACTGAAATGTAATTAAACATATTCTCATCCTTCGTGTTACATAGATGCAAAAAAGTATACAACTGCATACAGAGACAATAAAAGTTATTTAAACCATCTGGATGAATAAGTATGTCTTGACCTGGTGCTGAAAAGATTACAGTACATACTATTGTGGAGAGAACCTCTCTCTCTCTCTCTCTCTCTCTCTCTCTCTCTCTCTCTCTCTCTCTCTCTCTGTGTGTGTGTGTGTGTGTGTGTGTGTGTGTGTGTGAGAGAGAGAGAGAGAGAG